TTTGTTCTAAACTCGTTCATTTTCGTTAAAAATTTAACGGTGGTCTGAGCGGGACGTTAACCTACTAATTGGGATATGATAAAATCATATTTTAATGATGTTTATAGGTACCGATGTTACTTTCAAACACTGAATCGACGACATAATGATTCTAGCACTAGCTCGACGATATAATATAAATGGAGACTTGATCCACAAAATACAATTGAAACAATTTTGGGATCATATTTTATCATGTCTCACTCAACAAATTAACGTCCAACTCAGACGACCGTCAATTTTTAGCGAAAATGATGAGTTTGAAACATATGAACAGTCGAGTGACTATATTATTTTTTTTAATAGTCAGAGAACTCAACGAATCAACACCCTATAATCTGAGGATCATTTGTGCTCTTTACTCTATTTTTTATATAAATATATCTTAAATATTGTTTGGATTTTTAACCCTAATTTTAATATAAAAAGGTTTATTATTCAAATTAGTATTAAATTTTTTTTTCTTAATTTGGTAACCTGAATTTTTTTATCTCAAATTGAAATTGATATTTAAATTATTTCTATATGATATTTTAAAACCAATCATGTTGTAACAAATAATACTTAATTATGTTATTATTTTGATCGACAATATCTATAACATGATTAATTGTTTAGTGGCCAAGTCAATACACGTGTCAATTTTTTTCAAATTCAAATATTCATTTGAGATAAAATAAAATTTGTATATCAATTTAAAAAATGCTAAATTCAAGTAATAATTTGTACTCGAATTTTGCATACACGGTGTTCAAACTTGGAACATCAAATAATAACAATAATTCCTTAATTACAAAAATCGCTTGGTTTATGCTTGAACTTTTTTAACATAATAAATTGTTCTCCTTTTTCCCCTGTTATTTTTTCTTCTAAAATAATTTATCCACATTAAATCTTAATATTCTTTATTTTACGATCATTTTAAAGATATTTTAAGAATATGTCTAACATGCATTCATTTTTCTAAATATTAACATTACGATCTATATTTTTTATTCCACCGTTGGACCACTCCTTACACCAACAACAAAAAAGAAGCCTGGATCCTAAGCATCGGAGTATAGGACCATTAGATTACTTTTTATCTTGATTTTCCCTGTCTTTGTTATTAAAAAAATCGAGTTTATCTCTAAATTCGATCTTTTGACATAATATTTATTGAAATAATTTAATTATGGAACATGATTTTAAACCAAACCCATATGATGATTTTGGGTCATGCTAGAAACCTATAAACAATACAACCAAAGTCTCAAACATACATCTCGAGTACCATATGAATAAACCAACATGTGAATCTTACCGGATATAGTGGCAAAGTACCCCAAAACATCCCCTTTGAAGGGCAACCATGTGCTTCCCTCCATTGACAAAACAATCTTCCATTTTAGTGTATCCCATGTTTTTAAAAAAAATACTCTTTGTTTGGGGAGCGAGAAAGTGAAAAAGAAAATTATGGGGGGAGGCAAGGCAAGTAGTTAGTACAATCATGTGGAGCTTTAACAGCATAAAACCTGGAGAGAATCTATCAAGTTGTATATCACAAAGAGCACCAATCACTTGAAAAGCAAAAGAGGTTGGGCATAAAGGGAGCTGCCCGGTCCCCCGACACTCATCTCTCGGTTCATTGCCGATAAGAAAATCTAAAATACAATTTATTAATATAAGTCTAAAAATCAACATAAATCAATTGTAATAAAAAAATTATAAAAACGTAACCTTTTACGTTGAATAGGATAATATTTTAAGTTAAAATAAAAAAAATTATCTTCTTCATAATATTTTTTATTACAATTTTATATATTATTTTAAACTAAATTATCCTAAATTAACTTTAAATTAATTGGCCGAGCAACAGAACTATCCATGAAAAATTCGTTCACACCGCACCAATTATTAACCATTGGGACCCATCAATTTCCCCTGTCATCATTGTTTATGATGGCTATGCTCACGCCTCCCATTGCTTCAAGCTACGTTAGGCTCATCTTTTTGACTAGTTCGTGACTTCTTTATTTTATATAAGCATAATTAAAAAATAAATGTTCTGATTATATTTATTATTTTTTCTGAGTATTTAAAGTATATATAAAAATAGGTATTTAATATATTCAGAAATATTCTCTAAAATATCTAGAATTATATTTCATTACTATTTAAAGTCATTTTATGTAAAATAAAGTCTTCAACTAATAATAAATAAAATGTAGGTATTTTATATTGGAGAAAAATGGGCACATGTAATTGGGGCTGATTTATTGGTGTAGGGTTCTTTAATTTTTTTTTTGCTGAATTAAGGTACCGTTAGAATTCTTTTTCGATACGATGTGAATGTTACAGTAATCGGAGAGTTATTGGAACACATTACTCTTCCAAGAAGACACCGGGAACATAATGCGTCTTTCCCGTTTTTATGCCATTGAATAAAGCTGAAGACGCACTGTCATCTCGACGACTTTTCGAAAACACATTGTGTTTTTTACGACTTTCGACGAGTACTATAACATTCACACTATATCAAAAAATAATTATAATGAAATCCTATTTTAACCAATAATTTTTTTACAACACCATTAGAGCACTTCATACGGAAAAGATGGATGATTAATCCAAGTGAAGGGGTTGCATTGGTCCATATGATATTAAATTTATGGTGAACTACATGTTTATCTTTAATATATAAATTATTATTATTTATTTTATTTTAATTCATAATTTTTTTTTTAACTCATATCTAACATTCTGTTTATGTTTTATTTTAAATACATAATTAAAAATTTAATAGCGTTGTTGACGTGTCACCATAAAATAATATCATATCATAATTGAAAAAAATAAAAATTACTATGTCATGAGTTTTATTAATTTTTTAATTGTAGAATACTAAATTAAAATTTAAACGTTAAGTATGATTAAAAAATAATAAAACTTAAGTATTAAAATAAAATAATAATAATAATTTAAGTATTAAATATGTAATTTAAGACTCGCTTTTTACACTTTAAAGTTTAAACATTCGTACGAAAGCTCGCTACGTCCCCTCGACCAACCCCTAATGTCCCCACATTTAATTTTGACAAGTCATGTATGACAATTATTCTTCTTATAACAATAATTTGTTAAATATATTTAACGATTTTAATAATTAAATAAAATATTATTTTTAAAAATTTTATATTGGAGTAATATTTATAGAGTGTTTGTATTATTGATAATTAAGAAAATAATGATAAACGAATATTATTTTATAATCATCTTAAATAATTAAAAATAATATGTGGAAGTCCTTTTATTTTAAAGTTCTCGCAATTAAACCTTATAGCTAAGAAAATTAAGGTTTGGGGATTTGGAAATCAAACCTCGTTACTTAGTTGAAAATTAGACTAGAAATGTTATATCGATTGATTTGAGTTTAGATAAAATTGAATCAAAATTAAAACAGAGAAAATGATTATTTAAACATTGATAATACATACACATTTTACATATATAACTACTTAAATCTAGAATTTTTAGATAAAACAACACATTCTTTAAATACTGAAACGGTTGACAAATTCAGAAATAATGAATACTAATTTAACTTCTAAATAATATTAAAAATTAAATAAAATCATTGATAAATTAATACAAAAATCCTAATTCAAAGCCTCCTTTGATTGACAAATTAATAGTTGGATTTGACTAGATTATGCTTAAAACTATAAATTATTCCTTCAATTTGATTAAACGATGCTTAAAGCTTCAAATTTTGTTAATTCTTAAAATTCCGTTCTCAAAGGTATGGAAAAGAAGAAGAATATGAAGTAAAGTATTCCTTTTTAATTCCCTTTAATAATTTGATATAACATAGAATATATACATAATGCCAAGTGTCATGCTAAGGAAGACACCAAAAATTGCGTCATCAATTTCCACTATGTCTATTTTGGACAAACAGCCCTTTGAGGACTCAAACTCTTCACCTTTGCTAATGCACCTCATTTTTTTTTTACTAATTTTAATGTCTAGTCTATGTTTCAATTTAGTATTTATCATTAAGAATTTAATGATAATGTTAAGCTAAGATAATATAGCATTATTATTAAAAAATAAAAAAATACATTAACAAATTTATTAATTTTTTATCAAATTGATACCTAAATTAAAAGTTAAATATAATTTTGAAAAAATAAAAATAATAGTTTAAGTATTAAGTGTGTGGTTTATATTAAATTTTTATTATAACAATTAAATAAAAGGCAGCATGAAAAGTTATTCTGAGTTCCGAGTAACCCTATGACACTGTCCCCTGCTCCCCATGCAAAGCCAGTCCACACACAATAGACTGGAAAATACCGATATTAATCCACATTTTACATGAAAAGTCCTTCATTGCAGACGAAAGAGAAAGCAATGGATTGGGGGAGATAAACTGCGTTAAGACTGGGAAGCTGTTGATCACCGTTGATAGAATTCATGGAGATTTGCGCCTTGGGGGTGGAGAAATGAGAGACAGAGAGAGAGATTTTCATATATCAGCAACAACAGGTTGATTTAAAAGAAAAGGCGGCGAGAATTTATTAATATGATGTATCTGATATGATTCATACACATGACCCCTTTCTCTTCCACCTCTCCCCATCATCATTATCATCTTCGTTTCATTTGCTTTCTTCTACAAACAAAACCCATAAATTCAACACTCTTTTCTCTCTCTGACGACACGCTTTTGCTTTGATTCTTTGGAGGCTTTGGTCCCTTTTTGTAGTTATATTTCTGGGTTTTGTTTTGTTCTTCTTTTATTGGGAGTTAAGATTAAGCGTCATGGATGTCATCTTAAAGTGAGGAAACTGGGAAACGGGATGAGAACTTGCAAGCTTTCTTCTTTAGAATTTCCGTGCATATAAGAATTTTTGTCTGCTTGTTTGTTTGTTTGTTTGAAGTCTCAAATTATTCTTGTTTTAAGGGTTTTCTTTTCCCTATTGTTTCTTCTCTTTTAAGTTACTTTCCGCAAAAGAAAGAAACATGAAGTTTATGAAGCTTGGCTGGAAGCCTGATGCCTTCCAAGTAGATGGCAATTGCATCAGGTAAGTTGGGTTTCACTTGCATTCTTTTCTTCTACAACAAATCACTGCAAAATTTGTTCATGGTTGTTTCATAGCTTACTGTTTCTTTGTTTTGATTTTGTTCATATCCATTAGCTCTACCAATATCATCTGTTGTTTTACTTTATAGAAATGTATCTTTGCTTCATCGAATGATTTTTACACTGCTTAAAGGGGCTTGGTTAATCATTGTCATATACCATGGGGTACTTTATAGCAAGTAATTTACTAATTTTTCCTCTTCCTATTGATTTCCTTTTAGCTTGGTAACAGATTAGCCACATGGGTGTTTTCATTACTGCTTTCTTTTCTTTTTTATTGTTTGGTTTTGGTTTTTGGGAAGTGGTCCAGCTATTGAATCTGTCATCTTCATTAGTGGTCCAAAGTATCTAAATATTGTGAGCAGGCCTTTAATCGCTGTAAGAATTCTTTTTTCCCTGTAAACAATCGAATGTTTCACCAAGCATCAGCCATATTTCCCAGCTCCCAACGAGGACCAAGCTTGGATTTTACCCCATAACACGTCTTAAGGGCCGTTTAGTTCGCCAAAAAAATCATTACCAGGAAATATTTTTTTTTGGGAATTGAGTTCCCACGTTTGGTTTGTCATCATTTCCATCTAGCCGTAATAAACTTATTACCAACAATAGCGTTTTTTAGTTAAAATGGTGGGAATTCCCAAATTCTTAGGTAATGTCATTCTCCCAACGTGGACCAAGCTTGGATTTTACCCCCATAACATGTCCTTAAAGTATCTTCCCGTGACAGCAACTTCTCATAACTGAATCAGTTCATCATTGTGTTGCTAAGGACAAGAGTATGCAGGAAGGGATCTGGTTTAGTGCCTTGGATGTGTCAATTTGTTATTTGGAACTTAATACTTTGATTTGGGATTCATACATTCTTTGACTAGCAGGTCTAATTAGACCCCAGTAAATGCTTTTTTTTTCTATCTTGATTAGTGCCAGTGGTTTACCTTAAAAATCTGTGTATTAACAGTTGTGAAACTAAACATATATATATTTACATTTAGATATCAACTTTTCAGATGACAATGATTAATTAGAACTGGGGAAATTAAAAGAGACTTGAGAGCTCTAATATGGGAGTTGAAATCAATGAACTTATTGTTTCTCTTCCATTGATCTTACATATTTGGTGTTCAAATGTAATTAGACATGTGAGTAATAACCTTGGTTCTTTCAGTAGAGCCAATGAGGCAAAATTGGCTCTTGTTTTGTTCTTTTTTCCTTCCTTCAAGATTGTTATCTTCATATTTGCTAATATCTTCCTCATCAAGGCAATTTCTAGTGTATCTAGTCCATAACAGAACATATCTGTTGATGCAGGCATGTCACATCTGATTTGGAAACCGATGTCACCGTTAAGGTCGGTGAGCTGAAATTTTACCTTCACAAGGTTTGCCCAATCCCCTTTCAATCTTCATGCTTCTTCAAAATGTTCCGAGTCTTTTAGCATTTGGTTCATGTTTAAGTAGTTTTCTTTTTATATTTGACTGACTACCATTTCGTGGGTGTGTATGCTAAATCTTATTGATGCAGCGTAATATGTTTCCTTAAAAATCTTGCAGAGTTTACCTCAGATGACACTTTTGCGGATGAATCTTTTTCTCTCTATCCAATCTCTTCTCTTAGCAAAACTTAGCTTATATATCTATATGTTCTATAATGCTTTCTCTGGAGCTGCAGTATAGGGGTGCTTAACTAATAATTATTATTGTTAATTATACTTTTTATATGCCGTGCAGTTTCCTTTATTGTCCAAGAGCAACCGCATGCAAAAACTAGTGCTGAAAGCCAGTGAAGAGAACTGCGACGAAATTAGTATGGTTGATTTTCCTGGTGGGGCTAGCGCATTTGAAATTTGTGCAAAATTCTGTTATGGGGTGACTGTTACATTAAATGCTTACAATGTTGTGGCTGCTCGTTGTGCTGCCGAATACCTAGAGATGACCGAGGATGTTGATCGAGGTAATCTAATTTTCAAAATTGAAGTCTTTCTCAACTCTAGCATATTCCATAGTTGGAAAGATTCAATTATTGTTCTAAAAACCACCAAGTCTCTTCTACCGTGGTCTGAAAACCTGAAGATAGTTGGACGATGTGTTGATTCCATTGCATCTAAAACCTTTGTGAATCCGGCGAACATCACATGGTCCTACACATATAACCGGAAGTTATCAGTGCAGGACAAAACAGTCAATGATAATATGAAACTCCGGGAGAAGATTGAATCTGTCCCGAAGGATTGGTGGGTTGAAGATATATGCGAATTAGAGATTGATCTCTACAAGCGAGTCATGACTGCTGTGAAATCAAAGGGAAGAATGGATGGTGCAGTCATTGGTGAGGCGTTGAAAACTTATGCTGTCAGATGGTTGCCGGATTCTGTCGATGCCTTGGTTTCCGATGTACATTCCCGGAGGAACAAGTTACTAGTGGAAACAATTGCCTTCTTATTGCCTTCGGATAATGGTGTGGGTTGTTCGTGTCATTTCTTGCTGAAGCTGTTGAAAGTTGCTGTCTTGGCAGGGATGGATGATTCGGCAAAGGATGATTTAGTGAAAAGGATAAGTTTAAAGTTGCATGAAGCTTCTGTCAAGGATTTATTAATCCCGGCACGGTTGCCCCAAACTACGTCATATGATGTTGGAATGGTCCAGTCTATTGTGAACCAGTATATGATACATGAGAAACATAGTCGAGATGTAGAGCTTGGAAAGAATGAGATGGGACATACCGGTTATGTGCTAGGGCATGGATCCTTGATATACGTTGGTAAACTGATCGATGGTTATCTTCAAGAAATCGCATACGACCCAAACCTTTCTGTAGCCAGTTTCATCGACTTGTCTCGGTCTATCTCTGAGTTAGCTAGACCAGTTCATGATGGACTCTATAAAGCCATTGACATCTACCTGAAGGTAGGCTTTTCGGCTATCAAGTCATCTAGCAACAAAATTATACAGATATTTATTGGTTTTTCATAATGCCTGTCACTATTATATAATGAGAAACAGAAACCTTTCCGACGAAGTCATTCGGATTGTGTAAAAACGGGTTTATTTTGTTTGCAGGGGCATCCGGACTTGACCAAGGCTGAAAGAAAGAAAATGTGTGGGCTGATGGATGTCAAGAAGCTCACAATGGATGCGTCTATGCATGCTGCACAGAACGAGAGACTTCCTCTACGGGTTGTAGTTCAAGTTCTCTTCTTCGAGAAAGAATGAGATGGGACATACCGGTTATGTGCTAGGGCATGGATCCTTGATATACGTTGGTAAACTGATCGATGGTTATCTTCAAGAAATCGCATACGACCCAAACCTTTCTGTAGCCAGTTTCATCGACTTGTCTCGGTCTATCTCTGAGTTAGCTAGACCAGTTCATGATGGACTCTATAAAGCCATTGACATCTACCTGAAGGTAGGCTTTTCGGCTATCAAGTCATCTAGCAACAAAATTATACAGATATTTATTGGTTTTTCATAATGCCTGTCACTATTATATAATGAGAAACAGAAACCTTTCCGACGAAGTCATTCGGATTGTGTAAAAACGGGTTTATTTTGTTTGCAGGGGCATCCGGACTTGACCAAGGCTGAAAGAAAGAAAATGTGTGGGCTGATGGATGTCAAGAAGCTCACAATGGATGCGTCTATGCATGCTGCACAGAACGAGAGACTTCCTCTACGGGTTGTAGTTCAAGTTCTCTTCTTCGAGCAAGTTCGGTCTGCACCTGGAGCTCAGTCACGTGACTCCGAGCATCATAGTACATCCGTTTCCAAGATCACGGCCGAAGATTGTCTCTCCCTCAAGGAAGAAATGAGTCGAGTAAAGATAAACAATGGAGTCCCGAAAAAAGGTAAGTTGGTCGAGAGGAACAGCAAAAGCAGTAAAAGTGTCATGCAGCTACTGCCATCTCGTTCTCGAAGAATATTCAACAAGCTGTGGGTAGTAGGGAAGGGACATGCAGAGAATAGAAGTTCCGGAACATCCGGAAGTTCGCAAAGCCTGAATTCAGTGGTGATTCGAGGCGACATGAAGTCGATGGTTTATTCTTCAAGACAGAGGAGATATTCTATTTCCTAGACAAGGATGGCAAGAACCTGGAACTGTTAAAAAAGCTTGTAGGATTTTGTTGTGTTTGATGATTGTGAATTCGTGGTTTATGACATTAAACAAGTCTGTAGCTTTATTGAATCCAAATGTAATCAGTTTCTTGAGTGCTTCTCTTTCAAAAATCTTGTATCCAATTGTATGATCACCCATATATTCTTAACCACCGAACTAAACTCAGTTCGTGTTAAATTTTGACAAAGCATTTTATTTATCTAACTATATAGAAAGGTTAGTGACAAAGAGTGCCCTCGATCGTGTGTTTTCAATTACATTACGTTTATTGCGTTTACGGCATTAAAGGATAATCCTTTAGAACGGATGTGAATAACATTCCTCTTTATTTCTAAATTAAAAAAAACATAATCACTAAAAATATTGTCCATGTGGCAACATATCCATGGAAATTTCCTCTTCCCTTCCATTCCATCATATACATGAAACTTGCTGAAATTTCTAAAAATAATGACATATATACATACGTACAGACATACACCCATATATTTATATATGTACATACAAATACTTGCTAAACATTATATTGTTCTACAAGTGGAAGAATAAAACTTGCAACGGCCCTGCTTCTCTTTGAAGATAACAAATTTGCATGCAAGATCGAAGCTTTTGGAAATGTATCTTTCTAACATCAGTTTTGGTTGTGTCGTGTTCTTCAAGTTTGTTTAACTCACTCGTGTTGTTGAAGCCAGTACAATAAGAAGTAAGTTGCACGTGAAAAACTGATTAAATAAGTGTTCATCAAGTAAGGATCACGGAGCCATTGTTTTATATATTTTCCCTCGGGATGCTGTTTGGATAGAAGGAAAGAATCTCAACGGATATTAAAAATGATTCCTTTCATATTTCCTTTGACTTTTCCATAGCCGACCTTGAGATTCTAATCAAAATGTTCAACACCCATATTTGAAAATTCAATCAGTAGAAAAAAAAACCCAGAAAAAGAGATCCCAGACATGGTGATTAGGTACAGCATCATCGTATCGTGTTGGTTCTTCTTGATGGTCAACTTGACTCAGCCACGTTTTACTGAGTCACTGCCACGTTGCAAAGCTTGGTTGGTCCAATCAATCCCAACGGATATGCCGGATCTCCCTCGAGTCCCTGGTGTTCTTTCTACCGGTAATCAAAACTGGTCTTCTCTTCTGCTTCAATCTTCAAATTACGAATCGAAAACGAAATCTGAAGTTTTGTTTTCTGGGTTTATAGGTGATGTGTTTAAGTGGTTGGCTTACAACTCAACTGAGAATCTGGATATAATTGCTCAGTACTGGCAATTGAAAGCACATCCAGAGGATTCTCGTTCAGGTGATTATGGATACTCAAACGCCGATATGCATCGGTTTGGTGCCGGTCAAGGGTTTGATGTTTATACTGCCCTCGAGAACGCCGCCGATCGAGACGTGGATATCAGGTTATCTTTCATCTGCAAAATCTATGGATATTAAGAGTAGATATTTGATTAGTTAATTATATTTTTAGTATTTAATTTTTTTAGTCAAATAGAATTTATGAAATTTGAATAAAATTTAATAAAGTTTTATATTTTTATTCAAATTGTAATATTTATAATGTTATGCTGTTGATTGATTTAATTTAATAAATTTTTCTAACCATATAAAATATATGTATATTTTTATATATTTTTTTCACATTATAATATTATTTACTAAATCAAATGTTATTTAAAATTATTAAATATATTTATAATTTTATTTTTTAAAGAAAATATTTTAAGGAAAAAATATTGATGAGAAAGTATGAAAGAGTAAGGATTTATGAGAAGAAAACATTTGTAAAAAAATAAAATAAAAATTAAATTTAATAACATAGTATAAAGTTGTGAGATTAAATTATAAAAGAATAAATTTATTGTTAAAAATAAGAACTAAGTTACATATATATTCTATAGTGTTTAAGGAGTATGTGATTCAAATTTGGTAAAAATAACTTAAAATGATTGAGGATTTAAGGGTACGAGTTAAGGATGAGTATTTTGGTTAATCGACTTGATTCAAGTTAAAAAAATTTAGTTAATCGAATTGATGAGTTATATTTTATCGTTGAGACTTTATTTAAATCTAATGCATAAAATTTTAATTGAGTCTAATCAATTCTTCGAATTGAATTTTACACACTCCTAATGGATATTTGATTCCTTGTCAAATAAGTTACTTCTTTTGCTTAGGTTACTGCAGCACTCCGGAGTGTATCCAGACTACACCAAAGAGCCCTCCAGCCTTGCTTCACGAAGATCAAACGTCAAGAGTGTGACTTTATTGCTTGAAAAATGGTGGGGTTCAGGCATTGTCCATGCCAAAGTTTGGATATCGGATAATCGAGACGTATATATCGGATCGGCAAACAATGATTGGAAATCTCTTACTCAGGTATACAAAGGATCATTCGGTTCGAGTTTAGAATGTCCTGATTATGGTTGAACCCTGCAATAACATGTCCTGATTAATGATTATGGTTGCAGGTGAAGGAAGTTGGGATTTATCTTGTCGGTTGTCCGAAAGTAGCAAGGAAAGTCGGCGTCTACTTTCAGAATCTATGGAGGCTTGCACATCTTGATGATTCGGTTTACACCAAAATAATCTTGGACCAACAATGGCAGATTCAGAGAAAAGTCCCCTGCTGGTCACATTTCATTGAATCAGACCTGAGATGCACGTATGTTATAATTGTCTTGTTTTCGGAACTTGCAGTGCTTTGATTGTTAATACCTTTACATGTTTATTTAGGCCACGACTTCCTCGTTTCGTGGAGATTCCGTATGTTGCAGGATATCCGATGTTATCGGACCCTAAAATATTGAAGTTGATCATCGATGCTCCCGGATATGGTTATAGAAGTCCGGTGCCTCAGTCGAGTTATCTGTCTTTTGCTCCTCCAGAGTTGTCATTTGGCAGGTTCCAGCCCGATGAACAAGGATGGCTCGACACGATTAAATCGGTAGGAGACGGAGGGACCGTAAGGATCAGTACAATGGACTGGCTGGGTCAATCCCAATACATGAATCAAACAGTTTATTGGTCAGCTCTTTCTACTGCCGTCTCCGAGGTGCATTCGATCAACCTACTTAAAAACATAAATACTTTCAGCTTCTTATGATGTTTTCAACAATGACAGATTGTGTTCTCCAAGCATGCTAAAGTGAAGATACTTGTAGCCTACTGGTCACATTTTATAAACAACACTGATCTCTACTTGAAGTCACTTCTTTACTCCAATGTTCTCTGCTCTTCGTCGACGTTCAACAAGTGTTCGGGTAAAGTCGAGATCAAGTATTACAAGGTGCCGGGGTACAATTCGACCGGACCGGCTGTTATAGACGGAAAGCCAACCGGAAATCTCTATCCGGCTTTCACTAGAGTTAACCACGGTAAGTATGTGGTCAGCGACGTACGTGCTCACATTGGCACTAGCAATCTCATATGGGATTATTTCTATACGACGGCCGGTGTTAGTTTCGGGACGTATAACCCGGCCATCGTTTCTCAACTCCGAGATATCTTTGATGCGGATTGGAATTCGCCGTATGCAGTTCCGGTTGAGGAGTTGAGTGATGGTCATACTTGTTCTAGTTGATGTTGATGGAGTTAGATAGTTACTAAGAATACTGAAAATCAGAAATGAATTAAGGGGACGATTGTCTTCTTCAAAATTTTAAATTTTCATATAAATTTGGAAGGGGAAATATATCAACGTTCTTCTCTTCTTCATCATTTCTATTTCAAGTTCAAATAATGAAAGGAAGAGAAAGAATGGTCAAAATTTTGTTTTAGTCCTTTTATTATGCTCAAATTTGTAATTTTTAGAATCAGCACCAAATTAACGTAACGTAGAAATGTTGAAGAACAAATTTATTATTATATCAATCAAAATTATATAAAGTTTATGGAAAATGTTAACTCTGATTAATTATATCTATTTTCTCATATTCGAAATTAATAAAGATTAAATTACTTTTCTAAGAGGGTTAATTATCTAATTTTAAAAGTAAAAGAGATCTCTCAAATGTCTTTTTATCAAATGTTTAGTGGGATGATACATTAGATTCTTTAAGTAATGTCAGAGGTTTGAATCTTGACGTTTGCAAATATAAAAAATTGGGTTGGGAGGGTCACCATTGAATCTACAGTACCCGATACAGATTAGTCGATTAATAAATCAGAAACCGGTGGTTATACAAAAAAAAAAGGGACTAAATTAAAACTCTGAGTATAGTAGAGAAACCAATGCCAAATTTTGACCAAGAATTAATTCATAGATCCATGATGCATAAACCGCAAAAAAACCCCAGCCCAGTTTGTTGCTGCAGAGCGAATTGAGGGGGAAAAACACCGGCAAAGACAACAATCAAATCTTACTTCTCCAGACCTCAAAGACAGAGGAACAATGAAAAAGAGAAAAGAAGAGCAAAAGCAAAGATGCAGAGAGTGAAAGCTTTGATTAAAGCAAGACATTCAGTTCAAAGACTTGGGTTCCTCTCCCATCAAAGATGCTACTCTGCTCAGCCACACTATGCCCCGTATGATGATTTCCAAGACCAGGTCTTTGGAAAAATGATAGTTTTTTTTTCTGGGTTTATATTTATCTTCTGTGTAGTGTAGTTTTTTAGCCAATTTTATCAGTGTCAAGTATGATTTTTTGCGTGAATTCGTTCATTTTTAGAGAATATTGGAAGACCCAAGTTCATGTTTTTGTTAAAGATTTGCTTATTGGTGAGTGGAAAGTTTCAGGTTTTAGTGGAAGAGCTAAATCAAGAGCAATAGGCCTTCTGCTTTCAATTAACTTACCAACTCAATGGTTAATTTTTTTCTATTTCTCTTTTCTTCTTTTTCTTTTAATTTTAAAGTCCAAACCTTTTAACTTCTAGTCTTGAATAAATTGAAGTTTTTTTTTTCTCCGGTTTATAGGTATCTCGGTTGAAGAAATTGTATGAATCATGGGAAGAGAACCCTGAC